GCTCGTCATAGGCGCTCACTCTGACACCCCATCACGTACCATGACTGTTGTTGCCTCCCTGTCAGATATTCTCTGATCCATTACAGTGCCTTTCCTGTTATGTGTGCCTGATCCTCTTGTGAGGAACTGTGTCGAAGGCCTTCTTGCAGTCCAAGAAAATACAGTCCATCCACCCCTCTCTCTTGTGTCTTACTTCCGTTACCCTGTCATAAAACTCCAGTAGGCTTGTGACACAGGACTTTCCTTCTCTGATACTGCACTTGTTATCATTTATAAGCTTGTATCTTTCTAGGTGCTCCACCACTCTCCTCCTGATGATCTCCATGACTTTGTATACTATACACGTCAGTGACACAGGTCTGTAGTTTAATGCCTCGTGTCTGTCTCCTGTCTTAAAAATTGGGACTACATTTGCCATCTTTCATACCTCAGGTAGTTGGATGTGTTTAAGATTTTTGTTAGTGGCACACACAGCATCTCTGCTTCCTCTCTAAGGACCCACTGAAAGATTGTTGTCCGGTCCCACCGCCTTTGAGGTATCAAGTTCCCATAGCAGCTTCTTCACCTCCTCGATTGTGTGTATTTCAGTCAGCATTTGTTGGTGTATCCCTGGTTGGTATACCTCCCTGTTCTGACTTCTTGGAGTCCTTCCTGTCTGCTGTAAATACTTGTTTAAATCTCATATTGAGCTTCTCACATACTTCTTGGTCGTTTCTTGTGAGCTCCCCACCTTCCTTCCTTTCTCAGTCTGATTACCTGGTCCTTGACTGTTGTTTTCCTCCTGATATGGCTATTCAGCAGCTTCGGTTCAGACTTGACTTTCGATGCTATGTCATTTTTGTATTATCGCTGAGCCTCCCTTCTTATCTGTGCATATTCATTTCTGGCTCTTTAGCTGATTTCTTTATTTTCCTGGGTCCTTTGTCTTCATTATTTTCTCCATTCTCTATTATTTCTGTTTTCCTTGGGAACAAACCTCTCCTCTGCCTCCTTGCATTTCGTTGTTACATAGTCCATCATTTCTTTTGCTGGTTTTCCTGCCAGTTCTCTTTCCCACTGAACTTTTTGCAGGAAGTTCCTCATGCCTGTGTAGTTCCCCCTTTTGTAGTTTGGCTTCTCCTGTCCTATTCCTGCTATCCTCTCCACTTGTAGCTCAACTGTGTATTCAGAGCACAGAACCCTGTGATCACAAGCTCCAAGGGGCCTTTCGTATGTGGTATCCTGTCTCTAACATGTTGATACATGAGGTTTTCCAGTACCACATCCATCATCTTGGCTCTCCATGTTTCGTTACCCCCATGGGGCTTCAGGTTTTCCCAATCTCCTTGTGATTAAAATCACCCATATCTAGTAACTTTGCTCTACCCATGTGAGCTCTTCTGGCCACCACAGCTAGAGCGTCCATCATTGCTCTGTTGCTCTTTTCGTATTCTTCTCTTGGCCTCCTGCAGTTCTGTGGTGGGTTGTACATAACTGCAATTACCACCTTATGGGCCCCAGACTGGATTGTTCCTACTCTGCAGTCCCTTTAGCCCATTCCATCCATTCCTTCCATTTCCTCAAATCCCTAACATTGTTCAATGAGCAGTACAACAACTCCTCCCCCTCTGCTCCCTCTATCTTTCCTCAGGATTTGATATCCTGGTGGAAATATTGCATCTGTTACTATCCTGGTGAGTTTCGTTTCTGTGAGTGCTATTATGGTTTGGAATGTCTTCCTGATTCTTTCGTGCCACTCTTAACAATTACTTGTTATTCCGTCTGCATTTGTATACCAAACCTTCAACTACTTTTCTATAACTGTGGTCTGGGGGGTACATTGGGGTTGGGGAAGCAGGAGAGCTGATGAGGAACCATGGGTGGTTGCTGTGAAGGTGGAGTGTGTAATGAGGTGGGTAGGGGCATTGGGTATGACGTGTGTTTTGGGTTAAAATGTTTGGTTGCACCTGGGTTGTCCTGGTTGGGGGGGTTTCTGTAGGTGATTGTGACGGAGACTGTATTTGAACTTCCTCCAGAGTTTGGGTTCTCCTGTGTACTCACCTAGTTGAGGTTGCAGGGGTCGAGTCCAAGCTCCTGGCCCCGCCTCTTCACTGGTTACTCTTCCTGAGTCGTGAGCTTTATCATACCTCTGCTTAAAGCTGTGTATGGATCCTGCCTCCACTACATCGCTTCCCAAACTATTCCACTTCCTGACTACTCTGTGGCTGAAGAAATACTTCCTAAAATCCCTGTGATTCATCTGTGTCTTCAACTTCCAACTGTGTCCCCTTGTTGCTGTGTCCAATCTTTGGAACATCCTGTCTTTGTCCACCTTGTCAATTCCTCTCAGTATTTTGTATGTCGTTATCATGTCCCCCCTATCTCTCCTGTCCTCCAGTGTCGTCAGGTTGATTTCCCTTAACCTGTCCTCGTAGGACATACCTCTTAGCTCAGGGACTAGTCTTGTTGCAAACCTTTGCACTTTCTCTAGTTTCTTTACGTGCTTGTGTGTGTGTGTGTGTGTGTGTGTGTGTGTGTGTGTGTGTGTGTGTGTGTGTGTGTTTTGAGTCTACCTGGACTGTATAAGTATACAAGTATTAGACAGGTGTCACCAGGTGTTGGTGTCACAGACAGGTGAGTGGCACTCAGGTACACAGTACAGATTTCAACAGTCCAGTACATGGGTAAGTATGTTCCCAGTCAGCAGGTTACACCAGGCTCAATAAGGTTTGTTAATTGTACATACACTGTTACACTCGGTGTATATACACTCTGTCTTCCACAACCTTTTTTACCCAGGTGTTGTACATGTGTCTTATTCATCAATAAAGACACCTAGGTGTTGTACATGTGTCTTATTCATCAATAAAGACACCTAGGTGTAGTACATGTGTCTTATTCATCAATAAAGACACCCAGGTGTTGTACATGTGTCTTATTCATCAATAAAGACACCCAGGTGTTGTACATGTGTCTTATTCATCAATAAAGACACCTAGGTGTAGTACATGTGTCTTATTCATCAATAAAGACACCCAGGTGTTGTACATGTGTCTTATTCATCAATAAAGACACCCAGGTGTTGTACATGTGTCTTATTCATCAATAAAGACACCTAGGTGTTGTACATGTGTCTTATTCATCAATAAAGACACCCAGGTGTTGTACATGTGTCTTATTCATCAATAAAGACACCTAGGTGTTGTACATGTGTCTATTCATCAATAAAGACACCCAAGTGTTGTATATGTGTCTTATTCATCAATAAAGACACCCAGGTGTTGTACATGTGTCTTATTCATCAATAAAGACACCCAGGTGTTGTACATGTGTCTTATTCATCAATAAAGACACCTAGGTGTTGTACATGTGTCTTATTCATCAATAAAGACACCCAAGTGTTGTATATGTGTCTTATTCATCAATAAAGACACCCAGGTGTTGTACATGTGTCTTATTCATCAATAAAGACACCCAAGTGTTGTACATGTGTCTTATTCATCAGTAAAGACACCCAGGTGTTGTACATGTGTCTTATTCATCAATAAAGACACCCAGGTGTTGTACATGTGTCTTATTCATCAATAAAGACACCCAGGTGTTGTACATGTGTCTTATTCATCAATAAAGACACCCAGGTGTTGTACATGTGTCTTATTCATCAATAAAGACACCCAGGTGTTGTACATGTCTTATTCATCAATAAAGACACCCAGGTGTTGTACATGTGTCTTATTCATCAATAAAGACACCTAGGTGTTGTACATGTGTCTTATTCATCAATAAAGACACCTAGGTGTTGTACATGTGTCTTATTCATCAATAATGACACCCAGGTGTTGTACATGTGTCTTATTCATCAATAAAGACACCCAGGTGTTGTACATGTGTCTTATTCATCAATAAAGACACCCAGGTGGTGTACATGTGTCTTATTCATCAATAAAGACACCCAGGTGTTGTACATGTGTCTTATTCATCAATAAAGACACCTAGGTGTTGTACATGTGTCTTATTCATCAATAAAGACACCCAGGTGTTGTACATGTGTCTTATTCATCAATAAAGACACCCAGGTGTTGTACATGTGTCTTATTCATCAATAAAGACACCCAGGTGTTGTACATGTGTCTTATTCATCAATAAAGACACCCAGGTGTTGTACATGTGTCTTATTCATCAATAAAGACACCCAGGTGTTGTACATGTGTCTTATTCATCAATAAAGACACCCAGGTGTTGTACATGTCTTATTCATCAATAAAGACACCCAAGTGTTGTACATATGTCTTATTCATCAATAAAGACACCCAGGTGTTGTACATGTCTTATTCATCAATAAAGACACCCAGGTGTTGTACATGTGTCTTATTCATCAATAAAGACACCCAGGTGTTGTACATGTGTCTTATTCATCAATAAAGACACCCAGGTGTTGTACATGTGTCTTATTCATCAATAAAGACACCCAGGTGTTGTACATGTGTCTTATTCATCAATAAAGACACCTAGGTGTTGTACATGTGTCTTATTCATCAATAAAGACACCCAGGTGTTGTACATGTGTCTTATTCATCAATAAAGTCACCCAAGTGTTGTACATGTGTCTTATTCATCAATAAAGACACCTAGGTGTTGTACATGTGTCTTATTCATCAATAAAGACACCCAGGTGTTGTACATGTGTCTTATTCATCAATAAAGACACCCTGGTGTTGTACATGTGTCTTATTCATCAATAAAGACACCCAGGTGTTGTACATGTCTTATTCATCAATAAAGACACCCTGGTGTTGTACATGTGTCTTATTCATCAATAAAGACACCCTGGTGTTGTACATGTGTCTTATTCATCAATAAAGACACCCTGGTGTTGTAATGTGTCTTATTCATCAATAAAGACACCCTGGTGTTGTACATGTGTCTTATTCATCAGTATATTTATTTACAGAGGTATTTTGTTGAGTTTTACTGCAGTTTACTTCTGCTGATCGCACACATAACCTTTGCTTTATTTACAGAGGTGCGACAGGAGGCGGTGAAGGAGGCGCTGGCACAGTACCAGTCAAGACCCAAGAACCTGCCACTGCCATCCAAGAGGTCATCTGTCATGACCTCCGTCATGTCCTCCAGGTCACCAGACAGACACCACAGAGATTCAGGTACAGTAGCCCCGTAGACAGGTACAGTAGCCCCGTAGACAGGTACAGTAGCCCCGTAGACAGGTACAGTAGCCCCGTAGACAGGTACAGTAGCCCCGTAGACAGGTACAGTAGTCCCGTAGACAGGTACAGTAGCCTCGTAGACAGGTACAGTAGCCCTGTAGACAGGTACAGTAGCCCCGTAGACAGGTACAGTAGCCCGTAGACAGATACAGTAGTCCCGTAGACAGGTACAGTAGTCCCGTAGACAGGTACAGTAGTCCCGTAGACAGGTACAGTAGCCCCGTAGACAGGAACAGTAGCCCGTAGACAGGTACAGTAGTCCCGTAGACAGGTACAGTAGTCCCGTAGACAGGTACAGTAGCCCCGTAGACAGGAACAGTAGCCCCGTAGACAGGTACAGTAGTCCCGTAGACAGGTACAGTAGCCCCGTAGACAGGTACAATAGCCCCGTAGACAGGTACAGTAGCCCCGTAGACAGGTACAGTAGCCCGTAGACAGATACAGTAGTCCCGTAGACAGGTACAGTAGTCCCGTAGACAGGTACAGTAGTCCCGTAGACAGGTACAGTAGCCCGTAGACAGGTACAGTAGTCGCGTAGACAGGTACAGTAGTCCCGTAGACATGTACAGAAACTTGTATATCACAGAGTCGATCGTTTGCTTTGAATTATTAAACGCCACTAACACTTTAGTTGAAGTTTTTGCAGCAAAAACTGAAATCCAAAACTTTGCCACTGTGGCTGTATACAAACTGCCAGACACAACAACCTAACAGTTCAAGGAACAGCTATTGGAAATTGAGTACTGTCTGGAAAACCTTCCAACCCCAGCACCAAACATCTTGTTGCTGGTGATTCCAATTTAAGACATTTAAAATGACAGAAAATATATAATGTTATAGAGATAATTCCAGGAGACAACAGCAGAGATAATTCCAGGAGACAACAGCAGAGATAATTCCAGGAGACAACAGCAGAGATAATTCCAGGAGACAACAGCAGAGATAATTCCAGGAGACAACAGCAGAGATAATTCCAGGAGACAACAGCAGAGATAATTCCAGGAGACAACAGCAGAGATAATTCCAGGAGACAACAGCAGAGATAATTCCAGGAGACAACAGCAGAGATAATTCCAGGAGACAACAGCAGAGATAATTCCAGGAGACAACAGCAGAGATAATTCCAGGAGATAAAGCAGAGATAATTCCAGGAGACAACAGCAGAGATAATTCCAGGAGACAACAGCAGAGATAATTCCAGGAGACAACAGCAGAGATAATTCCAGGAGACAACAGCAGAGATAATTCCAGGAGACAACAGCAGAGATAATTCCAGGAGACAACAGCAGAGATAATTCCAGGAGACAACAGCAGAGATAATTCCAGGAGACAACAGCAGAGATAATTCCAGGAGATAAAAGCAGAGATAATTCCAGGAGACAACAGCAGAGATAATTCCAGGAGACAACAGCAGAGATAATTCCAGGAGACAACAGCAGAGATAATTCCAGGAGACAACAGCAGAGATAATTCCAGGAGACAGCAGAGATAATTCCAGGAGACAACAGCAGAGATAATTCCAGGAGACAACAGCAGAGATAATTCCAGGAGACAACAGCAGAGATAATTCCAGGAGATAACAGCAGAGATAATTCCAGGAGACAACAGCAGAGATAATTCCAGGAGACAACAGCAGAGATAATTCCAGGAGACAACAGCAGAGATAATTCCAGGAGACAACAGCAGAGATAATTCCAGGAGACCAACAGCAAGAGATAATTCCAGGAGACAACAGCAGAGATAATTCCAGGAGACAACAGCAGAGATAATTCCAGGAGACAACAGCAGAGATAATTCCAGGAGACAACAGCAGAGATAATTCCAGGAGATAAAAGCAGAGATAATTCCAGGAGACAACAGCAGAGATAATTCCAGGAGACAACAGCAGAGATAATTCCAGGAGACAACAGCAGAGATAATTCCAGGAGACAACAGCAGAGATAATTCCAGGAGACAACAGCAGAGATAATTCCAGGAGACAACAGCAGAGATAATTCCAGGAGACAACAGCAGAGATAATTCCAGGAGACAACAGCAGAGATAATTCCAGGAGACAACAGCAGAGATAATTCCAGGAGATAAAAGCAGAGATAATTCCAGGAGACAACAGCAGAGATAATTCCAGGAGACAACAGCAGAGATAATTCCAGGAGACAACAGCAGAGATAATTCCAGGAGACAACAGCAGAGATAATTCCAGGAGACACAGCAGAGATAATTCCAGGAGACAACAGCAGAGATAATTCCAGGAGACAACAGCAGAGATAATTCCAGGAGACAACAGCAGAGATAATTCCAGGAGAAACAGCAGAGATAATTCCAGGAGACAACAGCAGAGATAATTCCAGGAGACAACAGCAGAGATAATTCCAGGAGACAACAGCAGAGATAATTCCAGGAGACAACAGCAGAGATAATTCCAGGAGACAACAGCAGAGATAATTCCAGGAGACAACAGCAGAGATAATTCCAGGAGACAACAGCAGAGATAATTCCAGGAGACAACAGCAGAGATAATTCCAGGAGACAACAGCAGAGATAATTCCAGGAGACAACAGCAGAGATAATTCCAGGAGACAACAGCAGAGATAATTCCAGGAGACAACAGCAGAGATAATTCCAGGAGACAACAGCAGAGATAATTCCAGGAGACAACAGCAGAGATAATTCCAGGAGACAACAGCAGAGAATAATTCCAGGAGACAACAGCAGAGATAATTCCAGGAGACAACAGCAGAGATAATTCCAGGAGACAACAGCAGAGATAATTCCAGGAGACAACAGCAGAGATAATTCCAGGAGACAACAGCAGAGATAATTCCAGGAGATAACAGCAGAGATAATTCCAGGAGACAACAGCAGAGATAATTCCAGGAGACAACAGCAGAGATAATTCCAGGAGACAACAGCAGAGATAATTCCAGGAGATAACAGCAGAGATAATTCCAGGAGACAACAGCAGAGATAATTCCAGGAGACAACAGCAGAGATAATTCCAGGAGACAGCAGCAGAGATAATTCCAGGAGACAACAGCAGAGATAATTCCAGGAGACAACAGCAGAGATAATTCCAGGAGACAACAGCAGAGATAATTCCAGGAGACAACATCAACTCTGGTGACAATTATCACAGAACTCAGCTGCTGAATCTATGTAATAAATATACCTTAAGTCAGCAAATACTGGAACAGCAAATACTGGAACAGCAAATACTGGAACAGCAAATACTGGAACAGCTAATACTGGAACAGCAAATACTGGAACAGCAAATACTGGAACAGCAAATACTGGAACAGCAAATAGTGTAACAGCAAATAGTGTAACAGCAAATAGTGTAACAGCAAATAGTGTAACAGCAAATAGTGTAACAGCAAATAGTGTAACAGCAAATAGTGTAACAGCAAATAGTGTAACAGCAAATAGTGTAACAGCAAATGCTGGAACAGCAAATGCTGGAACAGCAAATACTGGAACAGCAAGTACTGGAACAGCAAATACCGGAACAGCAAATACTGGAAAATACACTTGACCTTATTTTCACAAATAATGTTGACCTGGTACGAAATATAACAGTATTAAAGACTGTTAATTCAGATCACAATATAAGTTCAGACTTGTATACACAAGGGTCCTGAAGTTCAGACTTGTGCAGATGCTGTCCTGGTAGACAGTAACTGTAAGAACAAAGAAATGAAAGTTGATGGCCCAGAGGGAGACAGAAGTTCTAGTGGGGAAACAGGTGTAGACAAGGAGATGCAAAATCCAAAGTTACAAACTAGCAATACCACTGGAGATAAACAAAGAGATATCCCAAAGAATAGTGAAGATAAAATGCCAGAAAATACTGGTGAAAGCACCAGTGTTAGTACAAGTGACAGAAAAACACGCACCAGTAGGGAATGTGGACAGGAAAACCAAGGCAAACAGAAATCAAACCTATGCAAATGCTATGCCTTACGTATCTGCAGGCATGGAATATCTGGAAAAATGGATGGGACGTGCAACCTTGACCACCCCAGAAAATTCCATGCCCATATGACAACAGAAAAATGCAACCTCCCTTCCTGTAAGCTTTTCCACTCTGAAATGTGTCACTCTTCAGTTCAAGACAGTGCTATAACTTGTATTGTCAGGCACACCACTTACAGGGTACAAGAAGATACAGAACATTCAGACGCTGGGAAAACCTGGGTAGCCACAACCAGGAAGGAAAAAAACCTGGCAGGAGATGACAGAAATCGTACACCAACTCTGATCATTTCTGGAGAGGAATCACAGTCAGTGGCCTCCACTCCAAAACAACAGATATTAGTGCCAGGAAAAAAAAGACCCCCCATCCACATACCATCAATACGACGACATTCATCTTTGCAAATATGCAACAAAATACCTTTCATTAGTGGATTGCTTACATAGTCAAATGTAGTGTTTGCGGTTTTCACAGAGACCCACATAAAGGATCACTTTGACAACGAAATATGGATCCCAAATGATGTTTTGGCAGTAAAGATCGAGAACCAAAACCTGGTCATTGTGGTTGTATACAAGCCTCCGGATGCAACTTAACAATTCCAGGAACAGCTTTTGAAAATCGACCACTCTCTGGAAAGTCTTCCAGCTCCTGCCTCAGACATCTTGCTCCTGGGGGATTTCAACCTAAGGTGCCTAAAGTGGAGGAATATAGTAATAATGCTGTAGCAGTGATAACCCCAGGAGGCAGCTTAGATGAAAACTCGCACACACGTGAGCTTTTAAACCTCTGCACCAAATTTCCCTTAACTATCAAATAATAGAGCCAAGATTGGAGAATACGGATTCAAACCTATGTGGCACTCGAGGTATGCTCAAGGTATACCTCGAGAAGATGTACACTAGAAAGAGAAAGGTGCTCCCTACACAGGCGAAAACAAGGAATAACATAACGACTAAAAGAGGCC